ATTTTACTCGCCGGCTTACTTTTTTCCCGTCGCGTAGGTGCAGGGCTTCCTGCAACTGCGAGCTCCTGGTCCATAGCTACGATGGAACCAGCAGTTGGGTCATCCGGGGCTTTGGGTGGTTTGCGCTGGGATGGCTTCTGAGCCTTTGATTGCTTTTGGGGAACGTGGGTAGGCTGTGCTGCCCGTTCGAGCCTAAGCTTAGCTCTATAAGGGTTCGCTGCGGGCACCATGACTCTGTCCTTGAAGGACAAGCGCTGGTGTATGCAATGTGGTCGTGGCTGTGAAGGCCGTACCGCATAGTTATCCCTATTTCCCCTATACGGTTGCGATATCGTGGCAACGAGGAAATTATCCTCATTACTGCCACGTGCAACTATCTTATCTGCAATCGACGCAGCTTTGTCAATTGAGGATTCCACCAGCAGAGCCGTTACCGTCGGTTGAAGGGGGCTTGGCAACGACTCGAGCCACAGCTCTTTCACGATATCAGTGTGGGCGTTTGCTGGGCTGGCCCACGTGCCTAGACGCGTCAGATGCCTGCTTGGCGTCGTGTCACCAATCGGGTGATAAACCAGCAACTGGCGTAAACTTTTCTCTTAATAGGGTGTGTAGAACTGAAGAATCGTAGCCTTCAGAAAGTCGTACGCGTTCTTCTCCGGCGGTTTGAGAATAGTATTCCTAAAGGCGGACATTCGGTTGCTAGGGCTTGCCTCCACCGCGTAAACGTGTATCGAGCGCCAGCTTAGCGCGTTACGAGCGATAAACTGCGTTTCTAACGCACCAAACCACATCTCGAGGGATAAAAGCTACTGGCTTAAAATTAATAGCCAATAGATCCAGTTCCCTATCGTCTACTGGTTGACGCTCCTCGTCTGTCGTACAATAGCAATAATTATCTATATCGTGCAAATGAAAATGAGTCGTGAGGAACAAGTGCAAACCAAATTGGATTTAACTTACAAAGTAGACGTTGCTGGCTCACCAATGGAGCCAAACGGTGTTGATGGCCTGCAGATAAGTCTTCTTACGAGTCTCAAAGTGCGCGTGACCTCCTAGTGTCTCGTTGCCCGAGGTAGACAAAATCACTCGTTGGAGTCGTAGACGTTTATTGACGAATCGCGGTACTAGATAGTACCGAAACGTGCCCAGGTGACGCTAAACGATGCAAGAAATAAGTGCAATAGCAAAGCGGAAGCGTGTCACACGTGTTGCGTGGGTCTGAATAGGACCCAGCTTATATATACACCTGGGCGGAAAACCGTGCTCAGTAAAACAAGCAGAAGTAAAACAGAGAAGTATCACATTTAGATTCAGAGTTGATTGTGAAGAAAATAAGAACGGAAAACGTCCTCGTGGATCGCTCCTTTTCTTCGTACAATCATGGTCACTACAAAACCACTGCATTGGTGAACGACTTAATCGTTCCGGTGTTCAGCCACGCGTGGTGATGTTCACGAATCCGTTCGGAAAATCGCCTGACCGTGCGATCTATGTAAGTTATTTCACAGGAACAAGTAAATGTGTATACACAAAATGAGACCGCAGTGTCTGGAACTTTGTCCTTCGAGTGGCAAACACACAGTTGGCCTGGACGTGAACAACACACGAAGGTTAGAATCACAGAAAGTCTTATCGATCGCGTCAGGTTATCTTCATTGTATGTTCTCGGCTGATGTGTCCCCTTTTGAACGGTAAAGAAATGTACACGGATTTTTCTTAACCTCGGTGTTTTGTAAAGATTTTTTCCGTGCACTGAATCATCTTGTTGGCTAAACGCTTCGAATGTCCGTTACGTGCAAAGATCGATTTCACAGCAGGGAGCCCCTTTTCTCGGGTGTCCTCATCGCAGATCTTTCTTGCCCTTTTTCCTAGACAGCGAACCAGATTTCATTTTATCTTCAGTGGCACGAAGCTTCGGAAATGAATTCACAAGTATTGATATATATTGAGATGTATCGGCATAAATACCAATTTCTGAAAACGAGCTTCTTCGCCACTCCGTTGTTTTGCTCCTGAGGTTGACTAGCCGACGGAAAACGCACCACCCCGCAGCTTCGGTGAGGAATTGCTTGACTTGGTGCCCAACTCAGCTTTGATACAGCACATCAAGCACCCAATAAGATGGAAACCAGGTAACCAACTCAACATCCTGAACCTAGTATTCTCCAGGCGCGTAAATGAACTCGTGAACTTGGAAGTAGGATCACCGCTAGGTAGAACTGATCAAGCGACCATTCGATACAGTTATGTCTATCGTCTACGCTCTCCGAGGCTAGAACCCAGGCGATGCTACAGTGAATTAGACACTAAGGGTCTCCTCTTGGCCGCGTCACAGCTCCAATGGCCGGAGGAAGCGAAAGATGTCCACGAGTCTTGGGACCGAATTAAAACGAACCTCATCTCGTTGGCCGACGCCTTTGTACTGTTGCGATCGCATGGTAGACCGGATAAGCCACGGTGGTGGTCTCGACGGTTAGCTAAATTACTGGGTAGAAAGCGGGCAGCCTGGAGGAGGTTCACCACCACTAACGGCCACTCGAGATACCTTCAGTACTTGCAGGAGCGCAAGACCTACGACAGGGCCCATTCCGATTCAAAGAAACGCTATGAGCTCACACTGGCAAAAAAGAGTAAGATGTACCCGAAAGCATATTACGGTTATGTACAGTCGAAGGTGGCCACTAGTGAAGTTATCGGATGCATCCGCGAAGCCGGTGGCAACCCAACGCCCACTAGCTTAGAAAAGGCTTCCGCTCTACATCATCATTTCAAAGAGTCGTATACTATGGGCATGGTAAATACATTGCCGGCACACAGTATCACGACGGAGTGCCCTTTGGATAAACTCCTAATCGAGCCACAGGAAGTCGAAAAGAATATTGAAGCGTTAGACAGCGTTGAGCTACGGCTCAAATGCAGCCGACAACGTGCTACCTGGGTCCGCTTACAAATCAAAAGAAGAAAGATTCTTGTCTTGGTGCGAGTTCGAACTGCAATTCTGGATGGACATGCTTGACGAGAATGGAATTAAAGTTACTTGAGAAAATAAAATTGATCCCGGCCGATGATCTCGCTCTGGATAGGTTGCTCAGTGCCACGCGGTGGATTTTTAAATATTTGACTGGTAGGCTATTATAAAACTCATAGATAGTATCTAGTCCTAACTCTTCCATACATCGAGCTCCAAAGCTTATCAGACGAGCACAGGATGAGGGAGGGCAGATAATACGTCGTCTAATCGAGTTCAGACGAAAGCAATACGTATGTGTGGAACAGATGTGCGAATCCGATAATACATGGTATCTTACATGCGAGCTGAATAGCAACCCTCTTGCTTGATCTACAGTCAAGCAAGACTACAAGACAGTAGGTGCCACAGAGTGAACTGTCCGATTATCGGTCATCCTCGTCCTGATTCGACTCAACAATCGAGCAGTTCAACAGAATTGGCCCGATGTGTGTGATTGAGGAAAACCTTATCGAAGCCTCCAGAAACCGATGGGTGTCATGAGATTAACAACAGACTGAACGAATGTGAGAGATTACACTAACTTGTGCTCACAAACATAAACCCGTATTTCTGAAGCCGTGAACGGATCAAAGTGGAAAAAGATATGGATAAGGCACAAAAGTT